AAGAACAAAGATCTTTGCATAGCTTCAGTATACGTTCCACCAAGAACCTCCATTAGCCGTAGTCAACTCTGGAATCTAGTTTCGATTCTTCCATCCCCAGTATTAATTCTGGGTGATATGAACTCCCATGGTACTGGGTGGGGCGATCTATATGACGACAATAGAGCGGCTATTTTTTACGATTTATGTGACGATTTCAATTTGACTATTTTGAACACTGGTGAAGCGACACGTATAGCAAAACCTCCGGCTCAAGAAAGCCGACTCGACCTATCTTTGTGTTCAAGATCGCTATCATTGGATTGTCAGTGGAAGGTTATCAATGATCCCCATGGTAGCGATCATTTGCCAATCATCATTTCAATAAAGTGTGGCCCTCACTCTGCAGAACCATCTCGGGTTCCATTTGATCTTACAAGGAATATCGACTGGCAGAAATATGCAACGGCGGTGACAATCGGTGTCGAATCAATAGATGCGCTTCCACCATTGGAAGAATATCGATTCCTAGCCGATTTGATTTACAAAAGCTCACTGGAAGCACAAAAAAGAAAAGTTCCAAGTGCACCCTTTAAAAGGAGACCAGCCACACCTGGTTGGGACGAAGAATGCACAAAATTGTATGTAGAAAAATCTGATGCTTTCAAAGCTTTTCGTAGACACAAAACCTCCACTTACTTCGAGGAATATTCAAAGCTTGAGACAAAGCTGAAACAATTAATCAAAGCAAAAAAACGCGGTTATTGGCGCAATTTCGTCGAGGGACTCTCACGAGAAACCTCAATGAACACCTTGTGGAGGGTGGCTCGCAACATGCGTAACCGCTCATCTTTCAATGAGAGTGAAGAATACTCCAACCGATGGATATTCGATTTCGCTAAAAAGGTCTGTCCGGACTCAGTTCCAGCACAAAATATTCTTCGAGAAGCGTCTCCTAGCGGCGGCTCTCTGGATAGACCATTCTCAATGCTGGATTTCTCTATGGCTCTTCTTTCATCGAACAACTCCTCACCGGGAAGCGATATGATTAAATTCAATCTTCTGAAAAATCTCCCAGATATCGCTAAAAGACGCTTGCTAGATTTATTCAATTCCTTGCTAGAAAACAACATTGTACCGCCTGAATGGAGACAGGTCAAAGTAATAGCCATTAAAAAACCTGGCAAATCAGCGTCTGACCATAACTCATACCGTCCGATTGCTATGCTTTCGTGCATTAGGAAATTGTTGGAGAAAATGATCCTTCGGAGACTCGATCACTGGGTCGAATCAAATAACTTGTTATCAAATACACAGTTTGGGTTCCGCAAGAGCAAAGGAACAAACGATTGTCTAGCGCTGCTTTCCACAGATATTCAACTGGCCTTTGCGCACAAGGAGCAATTGGCTTCAGTATTCTTGGATATTAAGGGGGCTTTTGATTCAGTTTCCATTGAAATTCTGTCAGACAATCTGCACAGATGTGGACTTTCTGGAATTTTAAATAATTTCTTGTACAATTTGTTGTCAGAAAAGCAAATGAACTTTTCTCTTGGAAAACTGACAACTTCCAGAATTAGTTACATGGGCCTGCCCCAAGGCTCATGTCTCAGCCCTCTTCTTTATAACTTTTATGTCAAAGATATCGACAACTGTTTGGCAGAACAATGCACGCTAAGACAACTTGCAGATGACGGTGTGGTTTCCGTAAGAGGTCCACATGCCGTGGACTTGCAAGGACCATTGCAAAATTCCTTAGATAACTTGTCTTCTTGGACTATGAATCTAGGGATCGAATTCTCGCCGCAGAAAACTGAACTGGTAGTGTTTACTCGAAAGCGGTACCCAGCCCAAATGCAGCTTAATCTTTTGGGCAGAAACATTACCCAATCATTGTCTTTCAAGTACCTTGGGGTCTGGTTTGATTCAAAGTGCACTTGGAATGCCCATATTACGTATTTGAAGCAAAAATGTCAGCAGAGGATCAACTTTCTCCGTTCAATTTGCGGCACATGGTGGGGTGCTCATCCGGGAGACCTCATAACGCTTTATAAAACAACTATTCTCTCTGTTCTAGAGTACGGCTCTTTCTGCTTTCTCTCGGCAAGAAAAAGTCACCTAATAAAATTGGAACGAATTCAATATCGTTGTCTGCGTATTGCTCTAGGCTGTATGCACTCAACGCATAACATGAGTCTCGAGGTTCTGGCAGGAGTAACACCCCTCCAGAACCGTTTCTGGGAGCTCTCTCTCAGAATACTAATCAAATGCGGAGTGACGAACACACTTATAATTGCTAATTTTGAAGAAATTCTTGGGCTGAACACACAATCTCGATTTATGAGAATCTACCACCACTACATATCGTCAGATATGTGTCTTCCTTGTTACACTCCAGACCGTGCTCACTTCACCAATCGCAGTTCCTCAATTGAATATGATCTGACCATGAAACAAGCAACTCATGGGATTCCCGATCAACTTCGACCTATTATTATCCCACGTATTTTTACTGAAAAGTACCAACAAGTCAATTGCATGAAAAGATATTTTACAGACGGGTCCCGTCTCAATGGATCCACTGGCTTCGGTGTCTTCAATGAAAACTCTAGCGCCTTCCACAAACTTCAGGAACCTTGTTCCGTTTTTGTTGCTGAGCTGGCAGCAATCAACTTCGCATTGGGGATGATTTCCAATATGCCCACAGACCATTACTTCATCTTCTCGGATAGTCTCAGTTCGATTGAGGCTATTCGGTCGATGAAACCAAGTAGGCACTCATCTTATTTCCTTTCAAAGGTAAGGGAGCAGATGTGTGTGCTGGTCGAAAGATCATATATGATTACCTTTGTATGGGTCCCCTCACATTGCTCAATCCCAGGCAATGAGAAGGCGGACTCTCTCGCAAAGGTGGGCGCGCAGGAAGGCGAATTGTATGACAGGCAAATTTCACACGATGAATTTTACCATTTAGTGCGTCAGAGTACCTTTTCGAGTTGGCAAACCGATTGGGACACTGGAAATCTTGGACGGTGGTTACATTCAATTATTCCTAATATTTCTTCGAGAGCGTGGTTTAAAGGCTTGGGCTTAAGTCGTGACTTCATTCGCGTGATGAGTAGACTTATGTCCAACCACTACTCGCTAGATGCTCATCTCAATAGAATAAACCTCGTGGACAGCAACATCTGTCGGTGTGGAAACGGTTACGATGACATCGAACACGCAGTTTGGCAATGTACGGATAATGACGCCGCCAGAGAGCGACTTTTGAATACCCTCGAGGCCCAAGGAAGACAACCCTATGTTCCTATCAGAGACGTGTTGGCAACCCGTGATCTCTGCTATATGCAGTCCGTTTATGTTTTTCTTCAAATGTCTAGTATAAGAATTTAATTCCTTTTGTCTTTTGTCTCTCTTTATTAGTTTTTGTTTGTCTTGTCCCCCCGTCTCGATGAGTCTCATCGTCGCCCACTGGTCACCCACCATAGCCGGTCGAACTCCGGACGAAGCTAGAACAGCACTACCGTTCATACTGGCGACAACGCTCTGATGAGACAACGAAACCCTACCCCAAGCTCCTCCCCTGATCCTATCCTTCGAAAATGTACCCTTCTAACCTCGAGTAAGCCGCGAGTAATCGGCCCAACTCCTACTAGACATAGAATTAAGTGAATTTTGTTACACACAGTGAACAATGAATTATCGGCTCCGTAAAGCTAACGCGATTGAGCCTTCCAAATAAACGAACTAGATAAAAAAAAAAAAGCGCTCCGGCGAGTAGTTCGCGGAACTGATAATATTCAAATCAACCGTTAACCGCAATGAAGAGTTACGTCTGTTTGTCTGTGGTAATATCCTCATTCAGAATTTAATGTCACAAACAAAGTTTTAACATTACAGGTATCAATTATCGGTCAGCTGTTCCAAACGATCAAAAGGACACCAGAAAAAAACAAATAACGGCCCTTCTCAGGGCCACCATTTGAAAAACAACTAACCCTCTTCAGGGCCACCAAGTCAAGAACGGAAAGAGTTAAGATAATAGAGTATCGATCAATTAAAAGAACTAAAGGCTCAACATATTTGTTCCGTCCACTAGCGGTCCTACGTCAAGCTTCCATTCGTGCCCCTAGGCACAGACCCTTCTACTTTTTCCCTAGCTTTCTTAATTTGACAAAGATTTCGGAACATCCATGACCAATTCCAAACTTCTAGGAAGACCCTTAACCTTTCCACGAATTTTCCTGAGCAGATGGATGAAATAATGTTCCCAAAACTTCCAGGTAGTTAAACACCCTGAAGTTCTTAGAAGATTGCTGAACTTCTACAATATTCCTTGAGCATCTACGAAACTTCCTGAACTCCTACAAAGTTTAAAACTTTTACCAATACGGCACTAGGATAAAGTAATCCACCTTCCCATACTACCGATGACTTTTGTCTTGTCACTTGTCAGCTAAGGCCATGACCCTCCCTAGCCCAGCATCCTAATTACGCCTATGTGCGCCATACATTTGGCAACTTACTGGCGGATTTGTTGATGACATGCGACCCGCCTTTCAAGGCTTTCTGTGCAAATTTCTATACCATAGTTCGTTAAATCCAATGCCATCGTTCTTCCACAACTGTTCCATACTAGCGCTAGAACCTACCTAACCAATCGGAAACTCATTCCCACTAAATAATTATTCATCTACCAACGTACAATCAAACTGGCTGCTACGAAAACAAAAAAACAAATCCACCAAACCTCCTACTCCACCTACGCTTTTCTTTGTTTTCCTTTGCTACCGTGTATACAATGTTGAATTTTTGACCGTCCTAAAAGTAAAAACAATCGAATATTTTTTTCATTACAATAAATATGCCAAATGGCTCTCGCTCGATCGCCTCATACCGCTAATAAATGGGTACTATCAATGTATGCAATAGTATCTAGGTAGCTAATAGTAATAAATAGTAATCCAGAATTTCAGCAATCAAGTAGGAGCATACGTTTGTTTGTTTTTTGTTTGCACTGGTAGCAGATTAGACTACATGCCTTGCTGTCGCTGTATTTTGCTTTCTTCAGTTTAACTACACATATGGCTGTTTAGCTGCAGTTGTCCTTTTTTGCATGTTTCTTTAGGCTCATTTTCCCCCCTCGTAATATATAATTAGATTAACTGTGTTTTTGTATGTTTAGTGATGCCTCCCTTCCTCTTCCTGATCGAGTCTTAGTGACTAGTACTTGAAATTGGTTATTCAAAGTAATCCCATTCGGGTGCTGCCTCCATTACACGACCGCCGGCACAGTTGGATGGCTAACATCGTAACCTTCAGATCGCTACATCACTTTTTCATGCGCTCCCTAATTATACGATAATTTGAATTGTACATACGCTAAAAATGGTCGTATGGTGTTTGAAGTAACTGCTCACCAATCAGTAAAAGAAATTATACAACCGAAACTTCCGTCGATCTCCGGACAAGAATCGACTAAAATCAAAACCTAATATTGCAACAAAAAAAAATTACAAAATCCGGATCCTAAATGCATCCTTTCCTACGTACTAGCTTAACCAAAGACGAAAAATAAAATAAACAATCTCTGCCTATTTACAAATAAATAAACTATACTCAAGAAGCGACGATTGCACACGTGCGATGGGGTTTCGATTATAAAACAATGGGCCAATCAAAAGCTGCTCCTCTCGCCTGATATGACTCTACCACATTCATCAAACCCTGCTCGCTCAGTCCACGCGGTATTTTCCGACAATAGTAAAATTTTCCCACTTTTCACAGAAAAATATAACAGTCTTATCCACCCTAAACACTCCTAATCGAAAGAAAAGGTAAAATTCTGGAATCAATTTTGCACCTTCATGCGCTCACTCCTGGATAGTAGTTTGTAGTTACCTATTTATATAATGTATAATTTCCCCGTTAACCCCGCGCGCGCATTCCCTGCTGCAAAGGAGATTCTATTCGATAGATTTTAGTGATTCAATGGCTACGACATAGCGTTTTTCTTTTTTTACTTTTTGGCGGCCTTCTTCGGCTCGTCATCGTCGCTGTGCTCTTCCTGCAGCAGCAACGAGTCCGGGTGTCTAACGGCACTGGCCTTCTTGGTTCCACCCCGCTGCCAAGTGAACACCCTCGCCAGTTGGGCAAATTTTTTCCTCGATACCTTACCCATGTGGCGTAGCCGCTCCTTAAAGGCGGCATCATCCGAAACCTTACCTTGGTGGTCCTTCTCCAGCGCCGATAGGAACTCCTGGTTCCATCTCAGCTCGGCCATGAACTCTTCGTTCTGAAGCATCATTGCGAATTGCTCGTCTCCGAGATCGAACTCGGTGTTCCTAGAACCTTCTCCACAACCGGACAGTCGTAGAAAGGTAGGTGGCAGTGGTCCCAACAACGGTGGATTCCACTTTCGGTTAGCAACCGGCTTGCTGTCCGCTTCACGGACTCCTACTACGACTGCACGTGGACTGTTGGTAGCACTGGAGCTACCTGGAGATTTCTTGATTTTCGGCGAGGCCCCCAGGGCTGTTGATTTCGGGGAAGTACTCAATAATACGGGAGCCATATTGCTAGTTAAATCCAGTAGCGCACCTGGTCCGATGCTCTGAATATTTCCTCCCGATGGAGGCGTCCTACCTGTATCACCATCCAACTCCTGACGGAGCTTCTCGTTCTAAAAGAAAAGTAAATTTCAAACATTTCCTGAAAAACCCTCACTTCATCCCGCAACCAACCTGATTATCGGTGCTCATTGCTAGCAGCTGGTCGATGGTGGCATCCACTGCGCCCTGGTTGGCCCGCAGCACTGCCTCTATCACGTCCCGGTCCATATCCGGAAACATATTCTTGAAATCTGCCATGGCCTGGGCAAATTCCAGCTGCATCGTCGAGGCCATCGTCCTTCCTCTCTCACTAATTAGTCCCAATGTCACCCCGGCGGTGCAAATTCTAAGCTGAGTCAAACTTCCAAATATTTACGCTAGACAAACTGCAGATAAGACGACTGATGACGAATACCCACCGGAACGGGGACCGAACACAAAGCCACTTTTCACTTTATTTTTCTTTTTTTTTCCTGATGGGAGAGAAAAATTCCTTCGGCCGCAGATTTGCAGCACTGTGACAACAAAACTATTTACCACCTTTCCAGTTCCTGCCCTTGTTATTTTTTCCCTCGTGCCCTAATTCATTTTCCGCAACAGGACATTTGCCTAAACTTTTTCACAGCTTTTCCCAAATCACTTGTCACGGAATTAGGAGGATGAGTTTGTGGAAAATTTAATTTTCTGCTAAAATAAATATGTAATGACTTTTAATTATTTTTGTTTTGCGTTTTGCGCAACTGACAGTTCACTGCTAGTATTGGGCGATATTGAATCAAACCTCAAAGAAAATAATAATAATTCAGTGCCAACATTTCAAAGGGGCGTAATTGCTTTTGTAAACAATGACTTTAGCCATCAATTTCTCGCGAATGAAATCTTACCTCTTCAAAATAACAATGCTAGCTGGTAGAGGAAACATTCCTCTACCTAATGGTGTCATTATTTTTCATGAGTGAGCTTTTATTCGCGAGAAATCGATGGCTAAAGCCATTGTTTACAAATGCAATTACGCCCCTTTGAAATGTTGGCACTGAATTCTCGATTTTTCTTAGATCGATTTTCTCAATCGCTACCCGAATAAAAATATCAAGGGGTTTCCAACAAGTTTTGAAGTGACGAATAATCTAAGATTAGCTCGAGGATTAGTTTTAATTTCACAAAATAATTATGAGAACATTACGTATGTAATCAAGGTAATAAGAATAATCTGAAGTAAGCATTAGTAATCACAAGTAATCTCGATGAACATTTCAAATGGTCCAATCTGCTTTGATCGATTCTCTTCATCGACTTTCTCTTTCGTCAATAACTCAGCTGCAAAACCTTTCCCTGTTGTATTTGACGTTTTGGACGCTAGATAAGAACCTCCTTTATCAAACTATGTGGTAGAATTAACGCGAAATCTGTTTGCATAGCAGTGGTTATGAAAAGAGAAAGTCGATTAAGAGAATCGATCAAAGCAGATAGGACAATTTGAAATGTTCATCGAGTAATCATAAATAATCAATGGTAGCAACTTGGAGAAATCACGAGTAATTGATGGTAATCATCAAGTAATCATGAGTATACACAAAAAATAATCGTTAATAAATTAAAAAAAAACCATTGGTAAAATTAAAAGTTAGCGTTGGTTCTTCTTTTCCTTTATTTAACGTCGGTCTTTGTTCCGCAAACTAGTGCCAATCACCGACGGACATCGATTGCCATCCATTGACGGCAATCGAATGTGCAGAAAGGCAGCTTCCACACCTGCGTAGGATATCGCACTCATTCAACACACATGGGCCGGGACCAACGGCTTTACTTCCCTTCCGAGGGAAGACGTGACCAGAGATTTTTATGCCTCAGAAAAATCCCACCGACCTCGGCTGGGATTGAACCCAGACCCATTGGGGTGAGAAAGCAGTCACGCTTACCACTACACCACCGGCGCCGGCTAGCGTTGGTTCTTTTTGGTAGAAAGTACTAAAGTCCCCTCACTGTCAATTCAAACGTAGCTCTCTTTCTACTTTTAAAAGTTGAAACTTTCAAATCGAATTGGGTTCTTTAAGAGTATTGAGGTAAATGCATATTCGTAATCTGCATTTAAAATGGAACCCAAACCCAAAATTTCATCAATTTTGGTACACTGGAACTATTTTAAATAAGTACGATTACATTTGCAAAAATCACCTTATTAGCGCCCCTCGGTGTCACTTTGTATGGGAGCGAGCTGTCAGTTTGTTAGTTTAGTGTCAAACAGTGAAGTTATTATTTTGCTTTAAATCTTGATTTAAAAATCGAGATGAAAGTGTGTGGGTCCGAAAAAAATATCGCTGTGCTCCGAAAACGAAGCTCTTTCAGATGATGTATAAAAAACGATACATTTTTCAAAATTAAAGAACCCAATTGTTGAACTGTCAAACTGAAAACCTATAGTTTTTAAATTGACGTATAACAAATTTTAATTCAAATGATAAGCATTTTAATCGCAATTACATACGTTTTTATCTTAAATTTGAATTAATTTTAAATCAATTACTTTTATTTAAAAAAATAAATAACCAGGGTAATTCCTTTTATTCTAATTTATTTTTTATAATATTTATATTGTCCATTACAGAGCAGCAGAAGTGACGCTTCCGATGCTTTTACAGTATGAATTGTATTATTTTAAAGATTGTTGATCAAAGCTGGAATAATTTGCTCGTGACGGACTCGGTGTGGGGGTACTTGAATGAAAGTAGCATCTTGATGGGGGTGGGAGTCGAGGTGGGAGTAACCTTCCTTTCCGGCAAGACTGAGGCTGCTGAAAATTAAAACATCTCAATTAGAACAATCGGAAATTCATTGAAAATTATACCAAATTACCGTCAATTCCAGCACGCCATCATTGTCTCCATGTTATGATAGAGTTTATGTTTCATCTAAGATTGCTTCCCTCCATTGGCTGCTTTGACGATCACCTGCAATCCGATGAAAATGAATTAGCGGTGGCGTACCACTTTTTGAGAACCGATTCCAGTTCGAAAGAGATACCGACGGAAGAGTAATGTGGAAACGTAGAAGACACAGTAATATCATAGAGGTAACTCTAAGACCACTGGGTCCCGAAGAAAATCATTATTATTTTTGGCTCACTCAGTACCAGAACAACGGTCCCAAGCAGTCCCAAGCTATTTCACTCACCCCTGCATGTTCTGCATGAATCCACACACCCCTGATGTTATCTGTCAAACTTTCATAGCGAATCAAAACAAACATAGTGTAGTAATAGAATTTCAACTAGAATAGGGTACGTTAATCGTTTGCTTGGGACCAATAGGCTACTAAAGTGGTGAGCCAATTTAAAATCGTTAGTTTCGTATTTATTGTTGGTAATATCAACAATCAATACGAAACTAACGATTTTAAATTGGCTCACTACTTGACTAGCCTATTGGTCCCAAGCAAACGATTAACGTATCCCATTCTAGTCGAAATTCTAGTACTACACAATGTTTGTTTTGATTCGCTATGAAAGTTTGACAGATAAAATGAGGGGTTATTGGTTTTTCCTAGAAACACTGGAATAAGAGACCAGCGGAGAAAAAAAAACATGAATTTGGCAACAAGATAAACATCAAGGCAGTCCTGGCATCACTTGCATCTGTAACTGCTTGCGAGTGACTTCGCCAATGCTTCGACGAGCAAGTTCATTAGAAATTGGTAAACGATTTTAATACTCCTCCCTAATTGAAGCAAACCATTTGTAAACATTGCAGATTGGAACCGCTTTTGACAGTTCGATTGGAATCATAACAGTGTCTCCGCTGGTCTCTTATTCCAGTGTTTCTAGTTTTTCCTATGTTTCGAGGGGTGAATCGATTAGCTTGGGACCGAAGAGATCTCGGAAGAGATGAAATTTTGCGCTCATTTTTATCAAAACAATCACACCAAAATCAGAGATGTCCCATTTTTTAATTACTCGATTAACAACTAATCGATTATTTTTTGATCGCTGTGCTGCCATTTTTCCAATAGAGAGAGTGCAGCACATGTTTGAAACGATCGGCGATGATCCTGTGGAGATGTTAATGCTTATATCGGCATGATCTAACCGATTATAAATAGTTTACTTTTCGGTTCGTTAATCGATTAAACGATTATTCGAATGAAAATCGGACATCACTAGATGAATGTGAAACGTCATTTCAAATATAAGGCCGTTCATAAATAATGATACAATTTGAAAGGGACCGGGGCTAATCACAAATTACGTCTCCATGGTAACTGAAATAAACACGAGTGTTCACCGGTTGGTATATCGCCGCTAGAAGTTATGAAGCCGGTTTTGTGGACGGGCGATCGACAACGGACCAAATCTTTACGTTACGGTAGATCCTCTAAAAGTATCGTGAATATCAAGTCCCTACGCACCACCTATTCATCGATTTCAAGCCCGCTTATGATACTATTGACCGTGGAGCGCTATGGAAGATCACGCGAACGGTTTTCCCGGGAAGCTGACCAGACTGATCAGGGCTACGATGGATGGTTTACAGTGCTGCGTGAAGATATCGGGTGTGTTATCGGACTCGTTTGAAACGGGCTTTAACATGCGGGGCACGATCTTCAATAAGCCCAGCCAGTTCATCTGCTTCGCTGATGACGTGGACATTGTCGGAAGAACGTTTCGGGACGTGGCGGAGCAGTACACCAGGCTGAAACGTGTAGCAGAGAAGGTTGGATTAAGGTGAATACGCCGAAGACAAAGTATCTGTTAGCTGGATGAACCGAGCGGGATAGGGCTCGCATAGGCACAAGTGTGACAGTCGACGGAGATGAGTTCGAGGTGGTGGATGAATTTGTGTACCTCGGATCATTGGTGACGTCAGATAACAACTGCAGCAGAGAAATTCGTCGGCTTATTATTGCCAGAAGTCGTGCTTACTACGGAATCCACAAGACCCTGAGGTTGGGTAAACTTCACCTTCCTACTAAATGTACCATGTACAAGACGCTGATAAGACCTGTAGTTCTCTACGGGCACGGACGTGGACGATTCTCGAGGAGGACCTGCAAGCACTGGGTGTCTTCGAACGACGAGTGCTTAGGACCATCTTTGGCGGGGTATGTGAGAACGGTGTATGGAGGCGAAGGATGAACCACGAGCTGGCGCAACTCTGTGGCGAACCCTGTATCCAGAAAGTTGCGAAAGCTGGACGGGTACGATGGGCGGGACACGTGCTAAGAATGCTGGACAAAAATCCCGCAAAAATGGTGTTTGCCTCAAATCCGGCCGGTACAAGACGAAGAGGAGCACAGCGAGCAAGGTGGTTAGACCAAGTGGAGCAGGATCTTGGAAGTGTGGGACGGTCAAGAAATTGGAGACAAGCAGCCACAGACCGAGTGAATTGGCGTAACATTGTGATGCAGGTGCAATCCTGAGGGATGTTGGACCAGGATAAGTAGGTAAAGTATCCTCAATTTCTACACACATTTGAGTATATTCTGTGAAAATTTCAGCTTTTTGATGAAGGTTTTTTGATTTATGTATCTTGGTATTTTTAAAGATAATTAGATAAATTTAACTATAACTTCAACTACTGTGGAAATCATCCACCTTTGCCATTGATAAATAAAACATTTTTTAAACCAAATTGAACCTCGACTTCCACAAGTTGTTTCACAAATATTTGAGGATATTCTGTGAAAAAATCAGCCTATTTGATG